TTGTCTATCAGAGGTAAGATAAGCCTGGCACGGATATCCCTGTAGAACGGGCACTGAAGGAGCACATGTTCTATTGTTTCTACATGACCCGAGTCACAGGGGCAGAGTCTCTCTGGGAAAGGGATCTTCCGGTAGCGGCCTTCGAGTACAGCTGATGGGAGAGCGTGGCATCGGGCCAGGGTGAAAGCCCTCCGATGAATAGCAACTTCTAAGTATGTTAAATATGCCATAGGGGAGGCAAGGTATCTACTGTCTTCACTGACAAGGAAGGTTGGAGCCAAGGCCAGATCTAGTTGGCACTCTGTGTCTGTGATACGTTGTTTAATAAGTGCTTTGGCTTGATTGTAATCCATAGCTAATAGTAGACCTGGAGAAAATCCCAACGAGATTTTGGATGCTACCGCCTGCTTCCATGTGGATTGGAAGTCATCCTCCATGGTTAGTGGGGCAAGGCCAAGGGGTGCACGGGACAGTCTGAGCCAGAGGTTAAGTATGGCCACCCACACCCTGGCCTCCACTCTCATAAAACCCGTCTCTAGTCGCAGGGTGGCATTAGAAAGAAAAAAGGAAGGTAGCTAGGAAACGGAGTGGGAGGGAAGAAAAGAAAGGAAGGAATGTAGGAAAAAGAGGGAAAGAAATCAGAAATCGCAGTGTAGTGGTTTGAACATCAGACTGGCTCTGAACCCGCTGGGTGACTTTAGGCAAGTCACACTCTCTCAGATGAAGACAAAGGCAAATCCCTTTAAATAAATCTTGACTAGAAAACTCTGATAAGAGTTGCCTTAGGGTCACTCTAAGTCTGCAACAATTTGAAGGCACACAACCATAACAATCCTAATTAACCTGAGGTATCTAATTAGCCAAAAGCAGGCCCATACATTGAAATATGTTGGTTAAAATTGTTCTTCATTTTAAATATTGTTCTTTCATGCTTTTTGCACTACAAATAAGGTATGTGCAGTGTGCTCAGGAATTCGTCCGTGTTTTTTTCAAACTTGTTCTGACAGTCTGAGGGTCTGTGAACTGTCCCTCCACTTTAAAAAGTTGAGGACCCCTGATTTAGAGATATAGTTATAGTCCGTCTGCCAGCTTCTGACATGGACTTCCAAACGTAACATCTGAGGAAACCAACTGCTGCTCACAACAGCTTCCACCAACAAATGCGGTTTGTCTTTAGGAAGTCACAGGCATCATAGCTGCTCTTCTAAGACTGGGACATTGATTCTTACCCTTTCCACTTCATGGAGTAGGAACAACATAGATCATATTAAATGCAGGACATACCAGGAAGGTTTGCAGTAGACAGAACTCAGTAAAACTCCCTGCAGTATCACACGATGAGGTCTCTCCATGCTGCTTCTGGAAAAGACATTTACCGACTGTACCAGAAAACTTTTGTTGTTCATTTGTTCAGTCATTTCCAACTCATGACCTCATGGACCAGCCCACGCCAGAGCTACCTGTCGGCCGTCACCACCCCCAGCTCCTTCAAGGTCAATCCAGTCACTTCAAGGATGCCATCCATCCATCTTGCCCTTGGTCGGCCCCTCTTCCTTTTTCCTTCCATTTTCCCCAGCATCATTGTCTTCTCTAAGCTTTCCTATCTTCTCATGATGTGGCCAAAGTACTTCCATCTTTGCTTCTACTATCCTTCCCTCCAATGAGCAGCCGGGCTTTATTTCCTGAAGTGTGGACTGGTTGTATCTTCTCGCAGTCCAAGGCACTCTCAGAACTTTCCTCCAACACCACAGTTCAAAAGCATCTATCTTCCTTCGTTCAGCCTTCTGTATGGTCCAGCTCTTACATCCAGAGGTGACTACAAGGAATACCACGGCTTTGACTATATGGATCTTTGTTGACAGTGTGATGTCTCTACTCTTCATTATTTTATTGAGATTGGTTATTGCTCTCCTCCCAAGAAGTGTCTCCTGATTTCCTGGCTGCAGTCTGCATCTGCAGTAATCTTTGCACCTAGAAATACAAAGTCTGTCACTGCCTCCACGTTTTCTCCCTCTATTTCCCAGTTATCATTCTTGTTGCCTTAATTTTGATTTTTTTTTATGCTTAGCTGAACCCAGCTTTTGCGCTTTCTTTTTTCACCTTGATTAGAAGGCTCCTCAGCCTCTCCTCGCTTTCAGCCATCAAAGTGGTATCATCTGCATATCTAAGGTTGTTAATGTTTCTTCCACCCTTGCATTTGTCAAGAAAACTTTACAAACAATAGTAATTGAAAACAATATTTTATTGTAAATAAAAGTTATACATTGGCCTAGCTTTGCACTGCAAGCCCTGGTCAGTATAAGCACTTATAAAAATTAGAAAGACACAAGTGGTTCAAGGTCTTCTGTACACTTCAGGTTCTTTATGATTGCAAATTGCCCAAATCTTCCGCTTACAAATGAAGTTCACATGACATACTTTTGAAAATATTATATGGATTTTTTCTTTAGTGTAAATCTTAAACAAACTTTACTATAGGCCATTTAAAATGTAAGGATTCTGTGGGTTTTAATTCATATTCTCAATGACCTTGTAGACTAGAGATGAAGAACATGTGGTTGACCAGAGACTGCTGAACTACATTTCCAACACTCTACATTTCTGGCTATTTTGGTTAAGGATGATGATAGCCCAACCTCAATTGGATATAGGTCCCCCTGTTCTGTTCTTCATGTGATATTACAGAACTATGCAGGTCCATATTTACATCTTGGTAGATATAAATGTTTTGAAATCTGCTTGTTGGGCTATAAAACCCAACCAAAATCACTTGCAGACATAAGCAAACAGATCTACCCTTTTGGGGATAGATTCCTCACCCCACTCCTCTCACCTTGAAACTTTGATCCAGAACAAAAATTAAGCCAATCATTCACAACACACTAGGGGACACCTAAGAAATGAGAAAATTTTGTTTGGGAAAACTAGCTTTCTTCAATCCAAAATAGGTCATTTAGATATGACATTCCTTCCTGCAATAATAAGGATATAATACTGCAGTTCAGTAGAATACTGTTAGGTGAACCTGGAGTATACAGAATCGTCGTGCCAAGCCCAAACATCTTTGTTTCCTCACACATCGTTAAGACTCAATCTGGGGAAAAATTGCAAATTATCATCAAGAAATTTCCGCTCTTTCACCTACACCCATAAAGATCAGAAATATTCATTAAATGCAAAAATGTAAAACTCAGGATGCCATCACAAACAACCAAATTGGCTAGGGGGGCTTCCAGTACAGAAGAAAATAGCAAAATATGTGCAACAAAAGAGAAAGCGGGCAATTGTTTTTAATACAAACTGGGAATGCAATTTCATTGAACTCAAAGAGTGACTTATTTTTGAGTTAAAACATAATCACTCCAGCCTTTCTTGGTTGTTCTCCCTACATGTCAGCTCTATCCTTGAGGAAAATGGGAATGAGCATGCTACCTTGACCTGTTAATTTTGTTACCCCCATACATCCAAAGGACAATCACATTTGCAAAGGAGACATGCTTCAATGATTAAGACCATCCTCAATATGTGAGTTCTGTAACCAGCTACATGGAGAGATCATAGATGTATATGGTAGGCTATGATTCCAGCCTGATCCAGAGCTCCATGAGGATCAGGATATTCCTGCACTCTCCATCCTCCCCTTTGGACAAATGGACCACAGGCAGCACCTCTCCAGACCCGTGTGTGAGGGACCATAGTCAATGCTCTCTGGGAAAGGGTGAAGACAAAGAAGAGGAAAGTGGAGGAAGTGGAGCTGGATCAGGACTAGAATTCCATAATTGAACAGGAGACCAAAAGGAGGCACCATAACAGTGGAGGGAGCATACTATCAGCATCTGAGCCAATTGTGGCTGATAGGGCCTCCATGCCCCTTGCGGCCAAGCTCGACTATTCAGATGCCATTCCTGGTCTTGACAGTGCCTCCTCCTCCTCAAAATGTCTTCTTTGCAAAGACATTATCTATGTCTAGCTAACAGTGCGACTAATGGAAGAAGAGAAGTTATCTTGGTATTCAGAATTTGCATGCAAGAAACAGGCCCAAATACGAGGGGTATTTTTTAAGTAAGGTCCGTTTTGTTGTAGACACTAGTAGTTTGCGCGCATACCACAACAAGCGCGTGCATTGTGTACCGGCATGCCTCGGGAACAACTGTGCTCAGTTTCCGCTCTGTAGCTAACCTGTACGGTTCTGTTCTGTGCTTTAAAAATGTTTAAGACTATCAACTCACCCTCCGCATGTGAGGTTCGCTCGCTTCAACTGAAGCCACCAAATCGTCTGTAATCAAAGAAGGGAGACTGGAGTGATCCTCACCATGGACGTTGTCACGGCCATCTTTGAATTGTCGTATCCACTTATGCACTTTGCTTTCACTCATAACAGTATCACCGTACACTTCACAAATCTGTCGATGAATTTCTGCAGCAGGCAGGTTCCTTGCTGACAAAAACCGTATCACTGAGCGAACCTCACATGCGGAGGGTGAGTTGATAGTCTTAAACATTTTTAAAGCACAGAACAGAACTGTACAGGTTAGCTACAGAGCGGCAACTGAGCACAGTTGTTCCCGAGGCATGCCAGTACACAGTGCTCGTTGCGGTATACGCGCGAACTACTAGTGTCTACAACAAAATGGACCTTACTTAAAAAATACCCCTCGTACATGACAGAGACCTATGTTTATTTTTTAGGGAAAACTATTCTTCCTCCATATTGCTCTGAGTACCAACAATGCATGGATCTTTACCGATTGCATGCAACAAAGCAAAAGGCCTTCTCTTCCAGAATTCTTGTATTCCAGAATTCATATGGATCTGATAAGCGTGAAAGTTTGTTAGAAATATTGGATTAAATTCTGTGACCATACAGTGATCCAAGAAAGGATGGAGAGTGACTTCATTTGAGGCTGTTGGCTACAAATGTTTTTAAAATAATCTGCAGTAGCATCTCAGAAATGCATCCTAGAAACAGAAAGTGGGATAAAGACCCTGGTGTTCTATATTCACAATTTATTTCCTATTCCTGTAAACAGATGTGAGATTTTCCCCTCTCCTTCCTCAACAGACCAGTGAGAAAACAAAGAGGCATTTTGGCTTGACACATCTTATTATAAAACTATAATATTCTTTGCAAAACCAGCTGCTTTTCTTCCCTTTTTCAAATTCATAAATGTTTCAATTTCCTCCCTCCCCACCCAATAACCGTTGCTGTACATATCTATAAAACCAACAAATTATGATATAAATAAAAAAGTATGAGGCATCACAATTTGCTGACATGATGTAAAAAGCTTAACAAAGAGTGATATAAATACATTTGTAAAAGTGCATCCATACATGTAATGCTTTGGCTAATTTCTCATGCTGAATCAGCAGCCTGGGTCCAGGTACTGGAGTATATCATACAAATAGGTAGCCAAACCAACGTTTATCACATTCTTGGAGACAGGTAGAGGGAGGAAGTCTGCTGTTGGGTATTTGCTTAATCACAGCATATACTACAAGGGAGCAGATGCATTTCAGGACATAGATACCTTCAAACTTCTCAAGCTATCTTCAAGATTTATGAAGAATAAGAAAAACTGCTGCTTTTTTTGGATCTCAGCTGAGTTAAGGACAAGTCATTCTACCTTGATCATTGTGCTACACAAAAGCAATTATCTTAAAGCAATGTTCTGGAAAGGTCAACTATTCCTGGATAGTGGCTTCACACCTTGCCAATGCTACAAGACTGTGGACTGAAGACATTTGCTGAATTTTTTTCCACTTCAACTGCATTCTGTTTTAAAGATACTTCTACTGGTAGAAGGCACTTCCTACTGTATTTCATCACATAATAACACATTTTATCCCTTTTTTGACATTATGCAATAAAAGAAATTGAGCAATTAATTCAATCTTTTGTCCATTTTCCTTTTATGCACAGTGCTTCTTGCAGCTGAGTCAGAAAGCACTGCTGCTGAATGAAGTGCTGTGACTGAAAGTGGAGGGGCAGGCAAACAATCACCCTTACTGAATCAATGAAGCGACTAGTGTGCGAAGAAAGCAAAAATTATGAATTTTATGCCCCATGTAATTTTATGACTATTACGTGGTGGTGACTAATATGCAATTACAAGTATATTGTTGTGTACCTTCAATCTGAGTTTATCAGGGTTTTTCTTGGCAAAATTTGTTCAGAGGAGGCCTCTGCCTTTCTCTGAGGCTGAGAATGCAAGTTGCTCAATGTCACCCATTGAGTTGCGATGACCAAGTGGGGATTCAAACCCTGCCCTATAGGATCCTAGTCTGACACTCTAACCCAGGGGTCCTCAAACTAAGGCCTGGGGGCCGAATACGGCCCTTCAAGGTCATTTACCCGGCCCTCGCTCAGGGTCAACCTAAGTCTGAAACGACTTGAAAGCACACAACAACAACAACTCTATCTCATCACCCAAAAGCAGGTCCACGCTTGCCACTGTAATACTAATAAGTTTATATTTGTTAAAATTGTTCTTCATTTTAATTATTGTATTGTTTTTAAGTATTTTTTGCACTACAAATAAGATATGTTCAGTGTGCATAGGAATTCATTCATGTTTTTTTCAAATTATAATCCAGCCCTCCAACATTTTGGGGGACTGTGACCTGGCCCTTGGTTCAAAAGGTTTGAGGACCCCTGTTCTAATCACTATACCTTGCTGTCTTTCCGCTGTTCAGCTTTGCTGCTATTAGCAACTATTTGTGATTTAAGCACGCCTTATAAAATGTTTGATATTTGGGAGTAAATTTAACTCTGCACAAATGCCAATACCTTAACTTATCTTGTCAAAAGGTCTTATCAAATCAAGGGTACCAAGGGCATATGGAAAAACTTAATGTGCAACACAATATTCTTTGCAGCATAACACATTGCTTACATTTTTCATCTATTTTAGAAAATGAAATCTCAAATTGTTATATAGAACTGGAGTTTCCCAAAGATGGCAACTCTTACAGAGGCCCTGCATGAACCTACTTCTTTAGTTCCAAATCCAAACTTCTATAGCACAAACAAGAATATTTGTATTAGCAGCTCAAAGTTTGAAAGGGTCTCATGGGAGCCTCACAGGAGAATTATTTTCAAAACAATGCCAGGATTCCTAATGAAGACCTAATCCAGCACTGGGAAACGGGTCTTACTCATAACTAGAACTTTTTCATATATTTTCAAATTGCCTGTTTTGCTCACATCGCAAAAGTTCCACTGAAAAATTATTACATCCAAGTCTAGGCTGAAAACTAAAAATTATTAAGTGCAGATGAATAAAACAAAGAGTTCTGACAGATGCCTGCTCACCATGGAATAGAAAAGTTCTCTGTCTAGGCTCAACAACAGTGATTCGCCTTTCCCTGAAATAAATTTTGGTAGCACTGAAATAATATTTGTTTAGAAGGCTTGGCAAATCTAAATATGGGCACCATTGGCATTCTGCCCAAGGGTGGACGAAGCCTTCTAATGGAGGTATTAGAAGATTCCAATGTCTTACAAAGATTCAAGTCAGGATAATATCAAGGCTGCAGTGATAGCTCTCCAATTTTTTTTTCTCGGCTGCAAAAAACAGTTATCCATGGGGAAACACATGCATGCCAAACATATTTCACATTTCCATCATTTGAATGCATGTGCTAAAATAATCTATAAAATGGTGTTCTATGGTCTAAATAAATTAGACAAATTATGTGAAATTTCATATATATTCTTGGTTTTGAACATTTGGCTTTCGCTATTAATGGAAAGGGCACTGAATATCTGCCCCCAACCAGCACCTGCTCAGTACCCCATGGCTTCTAGGAAGTCACAAGGCACATTCCATAGTTTCAACATTTATAGTTTCTCTGTTGCCATAAAGACTAGAAACTTGCTTTTATTTTTTTAAAAAATAAATAAAGAAGTTAAAAGTGTTGAGTCCTAAGATGCTGATCTTTGTGTGCCAGATAACTAAATTCTGTGTTAGCACACAATTATTGCATAGACACAGAATGCACAGTCCTGAATTGCACCCTCAAACAGGCCAGTCCTAAATAATAATAATAATAATAATAAAGCTTGTTTCCCTCATTTCATACAGGGACCCTACACTCCTTTGGCCCCATTGTGCTTGCGTTCCATGGGAACCCCCTATTTCATCATCCAGATATTTGGATAAGAGAGGGAGAAAGGTAAAGAAATAGAAAGAAGGATCAAAAGACCTTGCCTCCGGTTCTTCGGCTTGTCATTACAAAATAATACTATTCACATGTTTATCCAAATCAATATTTTCTGAACACTTTCAGATGCTGAATACTTAAGAAAAATATATAATAATTATTATATATAATAATAATAATAATGGAGTGCATGTTCTTTGTGGCACTTGACTTGATAAGGTCCTGGGGAGTTGTGAAACGGAGAACGAAAGCATGATCCCAAGACACGCTTTTGTGAGTCTTAGCAGTCATCACAAGTTATAAGTACTCCTTTTTCCACTTTGGTCCAGCATCTGGCACAGAGCTACATTCAAATGAGATGGCTCCCAGTTGGCTTCCAGCTCATGAACTTATGGAGGCACACCACGGCATCATGTCAGCACCCCAACAAGGTCAGAGATATAGATTTATAGCTGCTGAAACATCCATCTTAAAACAAAGATGTCAACCTAAAAAACCCTGACATCCTTGTTTTCTTCTGACACGATGTCTTTCTAGGCAAATGCCAAAGCTGGGTTAGCCCTTGGGGTTGACACTTTGCTATGGCTGCTGGACAGCATCTTCAGAAAGTTGAGTTTCAAACTGCAGGTAGAAGTGCTGTTTGCAGTGGGAAGGGGAGAGTTCAATATGGCAGTTGTGCAAAGGGATGCTGGAGCAGTTCTTCGGCTGAAGGTCTCTGCTTGGCTTCCAGAAAGATCCGCCTTAGAAAGTCTCGACAAGTTTCCGATATGTGAGAAGGCAGCTGGGGATTTGTTGGTTGTGTGGCAATTTTGAAAATGGCTGCCATGGCTTCATATTCGGCCCAAGGCGGTTTCTCTGTTAACATCTCCACCACAGTACATGCCAGGCTCCTGGAAATAAACAATACAGACAAAAGCTCATATCATTATTAATTAATCGTTTTGCAAGTTCAAAGAAACTTAACTGTGGTGTAGTAAAACTGATAGAAAGGTAGATGAAATTCATTAAATTGTTAAATTAAATTAAAATTAAAATTAAATTAAATTAAAGCGACTTGGAAGGCGCTGAACAGACTGCGCTCTGGCACCACAAGATGCAGAACCAATCTTAAGAAAAGGGGCCACAAAGTGGAATCCACGACATGCAAGTGTGGAGAAGAGCAAACCACTGACCACCTGCTGCAATGCAGCCTGAGCCCTGCCACATGCACAATGGAGGACCTTCTTGCGGAACACCAGAGGCACTCCAAGTGGCCAGATACTGGTCAAAGGACATTTAATCAACTACCAAACTCACAAATTTTGTATTTTGTTTGTTTGCTTTGTTCTGTTAGAAATGTAATATAATTTGACTGGTTGTCCTGACACGACAAATAAATAAATAAAATTAAATTGTTTAGCAAAAGTACTTTGATGTCTTTGATACTTGTTTGTATCATCCAAATGATTTTAATACTCCCATGAATAAAATTTTTGTCACCAGCCTAAATAACAACAAGAACAAACACAAAAGTGGAGGCCTGAAATTTGGTATACAGATAGACTGTGCATGGAATGCCTGTTTTAAGTCTCCTTCAAAACAGAGGGAATAGTTTTTCCTCAATAAAAAATGTCAGCCCAGCGCAGAACAAGCCAAATAACTTAGAAAGTAAAATGTTGTTGTGTAGGTATAATTCGAGAATTTTGGGCCAGAAATGTTTTGGAGTTTTTTTCGATTTCAGATTATCTTTATTTGCATATACACTGATAATCTTGGAGATGAGAGCCAAGTTCAAACATGAAACTCATTAATGCTTCATATATACCTTATACACTTAGCCTGAAGGTTAATTTTATACAATATTTGTAATAATTATGTGAATGACACAATTTTTTTTTTCTACAGAAGGCAATAGGGTCACTGCCTCAGCAATTCATGTGAGCTACTTATTCCAGTTTCAGATTCTGGAATTTCAAATAAGAGATGATCCACTGATATTTCCATTTATCCCTTATAAATAAACTAGCCGTCCCCTGCCACACATTGCTGTGGCCCAGTCTGTGTATATGTGTTCTGTGTTTGCATATATGTGTGTGTATATATTTGTGTATATGTGTATTTGTGTGGTTATGCACATGCATTGTAAAATTTTTTTGGCTTTTTAAGTCCCTTATGCTATGTTTTTCAATATTTTTATGAGTGATGGTCACTCGTTAGCCTGATAGGTGTCTTGTGTCCAAATTTGGTGTTAATTCATCGAGTGGTTTTTGAGTTATGTTAATCCCACAAACGAACATTACATTTTTATTTATATAGATGCATACCAACACACACACTGTAAACTACACACAATGTATTAAAACCACTGTGGTTCCATCACTAGTATCATAACAACACTATATCAGCATTTGTTTTCAATATGTACATGGCAATAAAAGACATACAATTAAGCATTTCTGAATTCCAATATCCAATTCCAATATCCAAAATACACCAAAGTCCAAAGTTGTTCAGGTGGATAACTGACAGCAACATCTTTGCTTTCTGATCATTCATTGTATGCAAACTGCATGAACATATTAAAAATACCATATAAAAATTAAAAACACTACAGGTCACAAGCGTTTTGGATGAGAATACCCAACTTGTAGTGTATAAAGTTTCTGTGATTGCAAAATGAGACTGAATTTACTCTCTCATCCTGTCACCTTGCTTTATAGTCCCTTCCAGTGTCTGCTCATTTTGATCACTTCTAAGTAAAAAACTTCCACTTCTGCATCTCTCCTTATGAACCATCCAGGAATTTAAGATCCTCTGGAGAGGCCCTGCTCTCTGTCCTGCCTTCTTCACAGGTTTGGTTGGCGGGGACGAGAGATAGGGCCTTTTCAGTGGTGGCCCCTTGGCTATGGAACGCCCTCCCTAGAGATATTAGATTGGCTCCCACTCTCCTAACATTCAAAAAAAAAGAAGTCAAAACCTGGCTTTGCGAGCAGGCTTTCTCAAATGCAACGTAGTAAATAATTACTTGACCTCAGAATGGCTGGACAATGCAATCGGATGAAGATTCTGGAAATTAGATAAGGAGGATTTATGTTTTATTGATTTTATTGTTTATGGAATTTTATGGATGTTTATATGCTTTTAACTGTTTATATTACTGTGGCATCGAATTGTGTCGGTTTTGTAAACCTCCCTGAGTCGCCCTTGGGCCGAGAAGGGCGGTATAGAAGTATAGCAAATAAATAAATAAATAAATAAATAAATAAATAATGCCAGTATTTCAGTCAAAATCATTTAGGCTAGGGAAAATATTAATAGTCTCCTGCTGCAAAAGTGCAAACCTTCTAAGCAGGAAAACTTGGGAGGCTTTCTGATTTATTTATTTTTTTGCTGAGTATGAAATCCTGTTTCACTGTAAAATTCAGCATACAATAAGCAAACAGTGTATAGTCTCTTCCCACAATAAAACCCAAATATTTTACCATCTAATAAAGCACTGGGGCAGAGGCCAGCTTGAGAATCCTGTTTCACCCTGACACACACACACTGGCCTTAGGCCTCAAGATCTGATCCCAAAAATAGTCGCTGTCAGTGCAGAACTGGTATACAGCCCTTGACAGCTACAGCAGAATTCTACAGATAAAGAACAGAATGTGCTCTACCAACAAAAATGTATCTGACTTTGGGCTAGCAGTTACCCAAAAATCACCCAGAAGCTAGCAGTTATGCGGAAGTGTGACAGATTCCATTTTTAGGCTGGAACTGCAGCTACTAAATTTTAAAAATGGTTAATTCTCTGATAGTGCTCCAAACCCAAGTTCAAGACCAGATTAAATATTTTATTAAGTCCAACTGTGTTGTATAATTTGAGTTCACAACAAATTTTTACAAAGCTGTTTGCATTAGTCTGTATTAGAAAAGCTAATAATGTTATTATAATGGTGCAAATAGCATACAACTAACAAACAAAAGAATCATTTTATGATTTTCAAATAATTTTCAACAATATGAAGTGGACCCCTAATATTTGCATGGGTTTGCTCCCTGCACTCCTCATGGATACAAAAAAAAAAAAAAAAAAAAAAAAAAGGATACCCCAGTCCCATTACAATGACATAGTACAATGGCATCCCTTGTGCTGACAGGAGTCCAGTCATTCACCCTTCTCCTACCCCCACTTAATCCCCACTTAATCCCCACTTGGATTGGGTATTTGGGCCTAAGGATCAACCCCACCTGCTCCCCCCAGGCTTTGTTGTTTCATGAGCAGGTTCTGATGGCTTTGTTTTAAAAATGGCAGTTACAGCTTACCAGGAGAGGTATCATTTGTTATATTGGTTATCCTTATTTTCTTACTAGCATTCTTGTATTACTGACTGGGATTACTGTAATGCACCCTACGTGGGGCTGCTCTTGAAGACGGCCAGAAATTTCAATTGGTCCAACGGGCGGCAGCCAGGTCAACCCTCGACTTATAGGGAGCGGTCAACCCCCCTGTTTAAGGAGCTCCAGTGGCTGCCATTCATTTTCCGGTCCCAATTCAAGGTGCAGGTTATTACCTACAAAGCCCTGAACGGTTTGGGACCCACCTACCTTTGTGACTACATCTCCTTGATCATCTGGAGAGGCCCTGCTTTCACTCCCTTCGCAGGCGCGATTGGTGGGGACAAGGGAGAGGGCCTTCTCTGTGGTGGCCCCCCAACTTTGGAACTCACTTCCTAAGGATATCAGGCAAGCCCCCACATTGGCAGTCTTTAGGAGGAGCCTGAAAACGTGGCAGTTCCAGTGTGCCTTCCCTGAATAAGGAAATAATCCCCAGCAAAATGTCCTCAGAAGCACATTAACTACTCGTTTGATTGCTCTCCCTTCATTCCTTTTAAAACCCTGCTATCAGATACATCCTTCCTCTGTTCATGCCCAGCATTTATTTTTTAAATTTTAAATTATTACATTTGGTCCGGCCATAGGTTTTAAATTTTTGTGTGTTATTGTCTATATGTGAGTTATATTAATTGTATTGTTTTATTTGCTTACTGCTTTGTTGTTTTATTGATGTGTTGGGCTTGGCCTCATGTAAGGCTCCGAGTCCCTCTGGGGAGATGGTGCGGGATATAAATAAAGTTTATTATTATTATTATTATTATTATTATTATTATTATTGTCAGAGAAGGGGAAACACATCCAGAGAAGGGCAAACACATCCAGTTGATTAGGTAAGATAGAAAACAAACTGTTGGAAAAGGGACCAGGGGCTTAACAGCTCAACTGAAAACAATTATTGGATCCTGCCATTCCAGTTGGTGTGCAGGGGTGAAACCCAACGGTTGGGGATTGTTCCTTCTTTCTATCCCAAGAATAGAAGTTTATTAAAACACAAAAAGCAACATGTAAATCCATTCTGCCTGGCTGACCTATTTTTGTTAAAGGTCTTCCTATTCCCTATCTTTCTCAAATCAAAGTTGCATCACTATGCAAATTCAACTGTATATCTGTGCATCCCACAGGGTCAAGTCTCTATTTTAGTAAGGTTTCTTCCCTGCAGGCCTTGTCAGCATTTCCTGAGATGGATTGGCTGTCCACAGTCAGGCTTGTCCAGCTTTCCTTTTACACATAGCAACTCTCATCATCATAATTATCGCCACCCTGTTCAGGTGAACCCTGAAGAAGTACAATTCAAAAATACAAAACACAACATACACAAAAGCCCATCATAGTGACAGAAGAATAAGAATAAGAAGAAGAAGCTTCATACCTTATCATTTAAAACAGTGGTGCATTTTGTTTCACTGCAACTTTCATCATCCCTCATCAACAGTTATGGCAGCCCGAGCTCATGGAAGTTGCAGTTCAACAACTTGGTAAAGTATGGACATCTGACTCTGTAAGTTGTCTCTTAAGCAAAGTGCTTAAGAAATGTGGAAAAGGTAACCCAAGTAGCAGCCTTTGGTAGGAAGGAAACACCCCAAACCAAGGAAGTTGCAATAATAAATTGAAATATCCTTTTGTATTTGCTTGTGGGGATTATTTGGCTCATTGGTAGTAACTGTATTTTATTTAGATTATTTATACTGAGAGCCACAAATACTCTCAGAACAGTTCACAACATCACTGGACTCTCATGCTTACAATATCTTGCTTAAGATACAACAAATTAGGAAGACAGTGACAGGAGGAAAGATGACCATGAAGTCTACTCCTCAGCAGAGTTAAAGATGATGAAGATGGCATTCAGTGCTACTCCTATGATGTCTGTGCTTTCCAGAACACTGGAAGCAAGTGTTATACCTACCTAGAGTAAGTGGTCTGAGTTTGAAAGAGAAAACAGTATTTTTTTTCTTTTAAAAATCAAGTACTTACTACCAAGTGAACTGAATCCCTGATCATCCACATAGCAAGCAAAAGGCGTTATAAGGCTAATAAAGTGTCAGATGACTGCAACGTAACACAGAGGAGAAAGTCTTTGCAAGTCATAAACTTAAACATATACCAATCCCAAGGCAACAGCAAACCAGCTTCTTACCAGACATCGGCTTTTCTTCCATAGCCCTCTCCACTGATCACTTCTGGACTCATCCAATAGGGTGTCCCTGTGACAGAACGGATGCCTGTCCCAGACATGCAAATTGTCTGTAACCGTTTGCTGGCCCCAAAATCACCAAGCTTCACGTTACCAGCAGAATCTCGGAGAATATTTGCTCCTGAGTTCAAAAGCGGGATAAAAAAGTGGTATGTGTACAGTGCAAAATTCAGAGACACAGCCTGCAGTTATAATTTAGTTTAAAATGCCTAAAGTCTGATATAGGTTTACTATCTGATACAGATACTAGCAGCTTTTTATATGAGCACATATAATCCATACCATAGCCCTAACCCAGCCCAGTTGCTTATTATAAAGGAGCAGAGGTTGTTAGCTTTTAAGTACATCTTTAATGCAATGTACCTGCTGTTCAAGTTTGTTCTTCTATGTTTCTCTCTCATTAAACATTTAGGCACCTTTGTGTAATTGGTCTAGTGGTATTTTGTGTCCTCAGACACCATGTTGCTTTTTCCATTAAAAAATATTTTTATGTCTACCTTAAAAAAAAAAAAATCTCACGACATTCTTCAGAAAAAGTTACATTACAGTTCATGCTTCTTAGAACAATAGCAATTGTGGGTTGTGCGGGCCAGATGTTCAACACCAACAAAATTATTGGTAGTATTTTCAAGGTAAGAAAGTTGTAAGTAGATTGCTACTGGAACAGAAAGGGCAAAACTGTAAAGATAAGCTACACTACGCAGCAATCACAAAAGTGCACTTCTCTGGACTCTGGATGCACTCTAACAAATCCTTTCCTGTCAACATTTACTTCATTTTGAGATTTTGGGCTTAAAAAGAACATCATTCTCAAAGCACAGCATACAAATATGTTTATATAAAAGCTCCTTTCTTCAGCTGTGTTGCTTACCCTTTATATCCCTGTGTACAATCATGTTGCTGTGAAGGTAACAGACTCCTTCCAGAATCTGCCGAGTGTACTTCCGGGTCACATTTTCCGTCAGAGCACCATAAGCCTTCAGCTGGTCTTTGACAGAACCCTTCGGAAGAAAAACAGGAAGGTACTAAAGAATACTTTAATTAAAAAGAATGTTGCATCCCACTGTGGTCAGAAGCAGATTAGTTCTACTTTCTGAAGGACCAAATCAATTCTTACCCCTGGCATATACTCCATGAAGATGCTCAGAGTCTTCTCTGCTCGGTCCCTCAAGCATCCGTAATACTGAACAATGCGCTCATGTTGGAGGTTCTTCAGCAACTGAATCTCACATTCCAATGCACTCACTTCCTGCAGCCACAGAGAAAGCCACTTAATCTACCGTGTAAAGAAAGACCAACTTGGTCTTTGTACAAACAGTCTTCTTCAGAGCAAGTAAAAAATACACAAGATGGTTTAGAGAGAAATTAAAGTATGTTTAATTGGCCTTGCCCCTCTGTCCATACTTGTTTCTGGTTTTGAGAAACAGCCTGCAGTTTATTAAACTAGTTTGCTGCTTTGGCTGAGCTTTAAAAAATGATTGAAATTCAGCTTACAAACCATGATCCTCTGTGGGCAAATCTGCAGAAAACAATTAGCCAAATATATGTGGTCTAATCATTCCTGCTTGCAATGAGAGCAGCTAAACAAACCATGGAGCATCAATCACTGATTTATTTTAACATGTAATACAAACACAGGAAACTACTCTTCCTTGGCTTTCTTTTCTACTAACACGCCAGAAAAACAAACCAAGAACAAGCCATAGAGGCTGGCTTTACCCTATAATATCCTAAATGGTTTTGGCCCAGCTTACCTATCTGAACATAGCTCTCCTTATGAACCATTTAGGATGTTAAGATCTTCTGGGGAGGCCCTGCTCTCGGTCCCACCTTCTTCGCAGATGCGTTTGGTGGGGACGAGAGACAAGGCCTTCTCAGTGGTGGCCCCTCGGCTGTGGAACGCCCTGCCTAGGGATATAAGATTGGGTCCCTCTCTTCTGACTTTCTGAAGAAAGGTTAAAATTTATTATTTATTTACTGTATTTGTATACCGCACCTCTCAGCCTTCCAACAACTCAATGTGGTTTACAAGGCAAATTCAATAGCATAGAAACACAAGTACAATATAGAAAAAGCATTAACATCCATAAAATCGTAACAATAACAATAAAACATAAATCAATACATTCTCATTAAAAAACATTGTCCAGTCTCATTGCGTAGTTGTACCAATTCCTATGTCCGTTACTCAATATTTGCAAATGCTTGCTCGAATAGCCATGTCTTGAGTTTTTTCCAAAATGTTAGGAGTGAAGAAGCCGATCTGATCTCCCTTGGAAGGGTGTTCCATAGCTGAGGGGTCACCACTAAGAAGGCCCTGTCTCTCGTCCCCACCAGACGTACTTGTGACGAAGGTGGGACCGATCTTAAAGTCCTCAATGGTTCATAAGGGGAGATACGTTCAGACAGGTAAGTTGGGCCAGAACCGTTAAAACCTGGCTTTTTGAGCAGGCCTTCACTAATGCAGCATAATTATATGAAATCACTGAACGACTTGACAATGCTATTGAATAATGACTTTGATGAGGAGGCGCTCATGACAATGTTTTATGGCTTTGTACGCTTTTTTATATTTTATGCTAAATGTTTTTAACAGTATTTTATGGTTGTTTTAATTGTTTTATAATTGTTGAGGCATCAAATTGTTGCCAACTGTGAACTGCCTTGAAGTCGCCTCCGGGCTGAGAAAGGTGGTATACTAATATGGTAAATAAATAAATAAAGCAGGAAGGGAGAACACTTCTTTTATGATGACAAGTACATAGTTTTTATAAGCACTTCCATTAACATAAAATACAAGAAAACAGTTGCCTGATAAAGGGAATTTATTAATAAATTAGTCTAAGAAATTACTTGATTATAAACCAGGTCAATTAATTAAAAATCTGGTTGCAGTGACTAGCAGAACAGATAGAGAAGCATTCTGATGGTCATGACATTATAATTACAAAAATACCTTGCTGGTTTCAGGGCTGTCTGGGTCAAACTGGACTTGCTTGGCAGCGAGTTCTCTCCCTGTATCCACATCGTAGCATAAATACACACGACCAAAGGCACCTTGTCCTAGGAGTTTCCCCCTTCTCCAGTTCACTGGAGCACTTGGAGCTGTCAAGCAGAAGAGCATATTCTTCTCAAAATGTCAACAAACATTATTTATTATTCCTCCCTGTTGGGCTCCTCTCCTACAAATGCACTTTTATCCCTATCTCACCCAGGGTTTTACCTTTTTAACATTTTACCTCTTAGATTTGGCCCGCCCTCTGTGTCTGGTTTTACTATGCTGCTTTATATTGTTGATTTTGTTATTTTATATTTTGTTATGATGTATTTTTATTGTGTGTTTATTGTGCTGTATTATTTTGGCCTTGCCCTCATGTTAGCTGTCCCGAGTCACCTTTGGGGAGATGGTGGCGGGTTATAAATAAAGTGTATTATTATTATTATTATTATTATTATTATTATTATTATTATTTGGAATTGCTTAAAACAAGGGTCTCAAAATGAGCAAGGGAGAAGTGCCTTCGGTCTGCTTGGGATGTCATTAACAGTTTTTTCTTCAGTTTATAAGAAAAGCTAAGCCGAGACCAATAGGGTCTTTGTATATCACTAGTCACCTAAAAGTTCCCAGAAAATGTATTAGCATGACCAAATAGCATTTTTTGTGTCTTCACCTTAGCACCTAAACCACCACCTCCTCCTGAGAAAAATGTATAATATCACAAAGGACTACCACCTCACCCACCTCATAGGAAACCTGCTACAAAACAGGAGCTTTTTTGTTGAGTCTCAGGGCCAGAGAAGCAGATGGCGGAAACAGAAGAACGGCCTGCCTCAGGGGAGCGTGCTTGCTCCATCCATGTTCAACATCTACACAAATGACCAGCCACTGCCAGAAGGGACAGAGAGCTTCATCTATGCTGATGATCGTGCCATCACCGCTCAAGCAGGGAGCTTTGAGATGGTAGAACAGAAGCTCTCCGAAGCTCTAGGTGCTCTTACTGCCTATTACAGGGAAAACCAGCTGAGCCCTAATCCATCTAAAACACAGACATGTGCCTTTCACCTTAAGAACAGACAAGCATCCCGAGCTCTGAGGATTACCTGGGAAGGAATCCCACTGGAGCATTGCAGCACACCCAAATACCTGGGAGTCACTCCGGACCATGCTCTGACCTACAAGAAGTACTGCCTGAAAATCTATCAAAAAGTGGGCACTAGTAACAATATCATACGAAAGCTGACTGGCACAACATGGGGATCACAACCAGACACAGTGAAGACATCTTCCATTGCGCTTTACTACTCTGCTGCTGAGTATGCATGCCCAGTGTGGAACACATTTCACCACACTAAAACAGTGGATGTGGCTCTTAATGAGACATGCCGCATTATCACAGGGGTGTCTGCGCCCACAACACTGTAGAAATTACACTGTCTAGCCGGTATTGCACCATCTGACATCCGCTGGGAAGTAGCAACCAATAGTGAAAGGACCAAGGCAGTGACATCTTTGGCCCATCCCGTTTGGATATCAGCCAGCACGTCAATGACTTAAATCAAGAACACCCCAGCAAGTGAGAGTCCAAAAGGGACAGGCTCAAACCCAGAACCTCAATCAATGGTTGATACCAAATGAGAGACACCCCCCCCCCGGGCACACAGAAAACTGGGTGACTTGGAAGGCGCTGAACAGACTGCGCTCTGGCACCACGAGATGCAGAGCCAACCTTAAGAAATGGGGCTACAAAGTGGAATCCACGACATGCGAGTGTGGAGAAGAGCAAACTACAGAACACCTGCTGCAATGCAACCTGAGCCCTGCCACATGCACAATGGAGGACCTTCTTGCGGCAACACCAGAGGCACTCCAAGTGGCCAGCTACTGATCAAAGAACATTTAATCAAATACCAAGCTTGCAAACTTTGTGTTTTGTTGTTTGTCTGTTTGTTTGTTAAAAATGCAATACAACTGTTTGGTTTGCTCCTGACACGATAAAAATAAATAAATAAACAAACAAACAAATAAAATAAAACCATAGCACTGATAAGCAGAAATGTTGAAGACACAGAAAATGTTGCCCATCCCCCCCCCAAGAAAGAAAAAGTGAATCGAGTAAATATATATGTCATATATGTAATAATAACCTATTTTAAGCATCCTAAACACACATTACTACCTTGAAAATGAAATGCATTACTTTAAAATGTTTCCCCAAGTCAGAAGCAGCCTCCAAAGTATAAAGGCAAATATACTATGCCTACTCAGAAATGTAAATGGGACTAACTCCTGAATAAATGTAGATAGGTCTTTCAGCTTGCAGTAGCAAAAGGGTAGCAGATGCTGGATGCCGGTTGCAACTGCTTAAAAATCAGAGGCTACCAAGAGGAGACCAGGAGAAATTCACAAGAAATCAAATACCCTGGCAGCACTCTCCAAGCACAAACATGGATTTTGAATGCAAGTGCTGCATCCATCAGTCTCCTGTTCCCTAGCCTTGTATGGTGAAGGCGACCACAAAGTCCGATTAAGAATCATAACTACACACTTGCTTTTGTTGATCTTGAATGTACTGACAAATCATTCTATGGTGTTTTCTCTCTCAAATTTTAGGACTATTTCCTTACATTTGGTTGGGATGTTCCTCTCCTGTACAGTAAGAGTATTCTCACTGTCAGCACTTCGCAAGCGCCCACGAGGATCGAGATACTGCACCGTCAGGCCCAGATTCTCCCCGTTGGTGCTCAAAGAACGGCTTGAGGGCACCAGTGTAAAGAGGTTGCCTTGATGCCGTCGAATGCGAGGAAATGTCCTTCGACCTGCAAAGTCAGCAAGTGTCAGAGAAGGAGAAGTGAGGTTTTCAAATAAAACAATAATCCAAAAACTAGGCTTTTTGGGGTTGTGAGCGTGGGGGGAGAGAAGAGGTGCAAAAATATTCTGGTACTTAAAAAACATTTTTCTAGTGATTACTTTCCAGAATCTGGTATCTTGACACGTTCTCAGCACATGTTATTCTCAGGATATAGCAAGGCTTATTCTCAGTAGACGTGACATCCATCTCCTTATATCATACCAGTAGTTAGGGGTGATGCAGCATGATTTCCATCACCCATCCCTTTATTTTCTTTAGCTATTTTACTACAGGAAAAGAGAAAGCAAAATGCCAACTCACTTATAATCCTTTACCTACGTCTGTCCATCTACACAGATTCAAGAGGAGGGGGAGGTTTTGTAACTGAGGAAGCTGATAGGTCTCTTTGGAAAAAACATGAAATGGCCACATTATCACTAAGATGAAAAGTAGGGTGCTTTACAGCAGATAAAACACACCCACCGTCATTGTAATCTTTATGCTGCATGGAGACATGGTAACGTCGAGGGTATGTTCCACCTTTCTCTGCTTTGTCATAGATTTGATTCTCACGATCTAGAATGGAGACAAAGTAAGGCAGACAAGTTTTATTAAATAAATACAGTAGGAGTTGGAGAAAACTAGATTCCTCTCATGGAGGTCCTGTGATGGGGTTGAGGAATAAATGAATATCAGCACTGAAAGTAATGTGTAAGAACCTTAACAAGAGCAGCACAGATAGATGTACAATCTCTTTTAAAGCTACAAATCAGCTGAGAAGATGCAAACTGTCTTAATCTAATCAAGGCATAGGCTACTCCCCCCCCCCCCCCCCCCCCCCCCCCGCCGCCTAAAATTAATTTAGAAAGAGCTAGACCAGGGGTCCTCAAACTATGGCCCACGGGCCGGATACGGCCCTCCAAGGTCATTTACCCGGCCCTCGCTCAGGGTCAACCTAAGTCTAAGCACAAAACAACAACAACAATCCTATCTCATCAGCCAAAAGTAGGCCCACAATTCCCATTGAAATACTAATAATTTTATATTTGTTGAAATTGTTCTTCATTTTAATTATTGTATTGTTTTTTAGTGTTTTTTGCACGACAAATGAGATTTGTGCTGTGTGCACAGGAATTCATTCTTTTTTTTTTTCCAAATTATAATCCGGCCCTCCAACGGTTTGAGGAACTGTGACCTGGCCCTCTGTTTAAAACGTTTTAGGACCCCTGAGCTAGACTATAGGGCCTGGGCAACTCATTGCAAGAGAGAACCTCCCACCTCACTATTCAACTGACACACAATCTGCCCCACATTCATGCATATTCAATATACACAGTCACACAAATGGTCACCCTCTTCCCCCTGCTCCCACAAAAGGCCAAAGAAAAGTATTTTCTTGGAGAAGCTTTCCTAGGGGAATAAAAACACAAGACACATCAAAACTAACCTAACCTTGTTTCCTTCACTGCCCTCAAATGTTTGAAAATTTGCGGAAGGGAGATGGTATCACCTCTGGATTGTTTGGAGCCTAGTGAAGCCCATCAGGTGTTTGTGAAAACTGTCTCCTAATCCCTGTACAGTTCCCCACTTCACTATAATAAGTAGTTCCAGGAAAATGAAGAAATAAAAAACAGATATGTTTTCTGAAGATTCTGATAGGCCACATCCAATCTGGAAATGGCAAGAGAACCAGAGCAGGAGAAGTAACCTGACCCCTCACCCGTCTTCATCCAGTTGGGAATGGCCCAAAAACAGGTAAAAATTGACAGCCCTATTGCCAACATACTTTTAAACATCATTATTTCATCGGAATCCATAAACATATAGCAGAAGACAATAAGGAAGTTCCTTATCTCCTCACCCCTCCTAAGAACCATTTCATTAAATGACTGACTTACCTGTAAAGTCTTGCCTATTGTCTGGGAAACTCTGAGCCCTGGATATGCAGGATTTCAGGAAAGAAAGGCTGTTGGAAAGAAAACACACTGGAAATTAGGGGAGGAGATAGTTTAATTTTGTATCTTACAATTGGCTGGAGTTATCTATATTACAATGGAACACAACAACAACAACAACAACAACAACAACAGCTCACTCCCTAAGATTAGACAAAGACTAGGAAACGTAAACAGTAGCAAATGACAGTAGAGTATTTGCATTGAACATAGCATTTTGGAATTTCTGCAATGTCAAATATAGGTCTTCTCATGACACTAAACAAAACCATTCAAATTTGGCTTGAATCTGTTTTCATGTCTAGTTTCATCACAGAAACCCATGTCAAGAGAGAAACGGATTCTGTCACCTACCCTGTTATTATTTATACCACCAACCAGGGTTATCAGCAACTGAGGAGAAGGAATCATCCAAACCCAAAAATAGAGAAGGAGTAACCAGAGATGTATCCTGAGTATCCTTTTCCAAGGAAGCTTCACGGTTTTTGAGAGATGGACCTGACAGCTGTCATGAGAGGTCTCCATCAGCTGAGGGAGTCAGGGTCCAGGACAACCAGAGAATGCACTCAAGAAATTTACATGGCAAAGGTCCTTATCAGAGACATCTCACTTTCCTCTACATCTATTTCTGGCCTAGCCAGTCATGCAACTTAAATAACATATTAATTCCAGACTTAATTTTTGGCTTTATCAGCTTATCACTGCTCACTATTTTGACACTGGGGCATGGATACTGTAATGATTTGAGTGATTATAGTCTCCCTATTCATGAACAATTTCAATGTTAGGACACGCATCAAGCAGCCCTAAAAATCAGCTAATACAAGTTCCAGAAGCAAATAACTGATGTATTTATTTATTTATTTATTTCACTTCTCAGCCCTCAGGCGACTCAGAGCAGTTAACAACCAATTCAACAGTACAAAACAGATCATTAGTCAATTAAAACAGCAATATCAATTAATTAACATCAAAACATCAATACAACAATAAACAAAATAACAATCCATCACGTCTCATCAATAGAATCAGCATCCACTCTCATTGTCCATTAATCCATATTCCAGTAATCAATCAATTGCACTGCTTAGTTGAAAGCCTGTTCGAAGAGCCAGGTCTTCACTCTCTTCCTGAATGCCAATAAGGAGGGGGCCGATCTAATGTCTGTAGGAAGGGCGTTCCACAGCCGGGGGGCCACTACTGAGAAGGCCCTGTCTCTCGTCCCCGCCAGGCGTGCTTGTGAGGCTGGCGGGACCGAGAGCAGGGCCTCCCCAGACGATCTTAACGTCCTAACTGGTTCATAGGAGGAGATGCGTTCGGACAGATAGGTCGGGCCAGAACCGTTTAGGGCTTTAAAGGCTAAAGCCAGCACTTTGAATTGTGCCCGGTAGCAAACTGGCAGCCAGTGGAGCTGGAGCTGTAAATATAGGGAAGGGGTTACAAAAATAAGCCATGTCAAATTGTGTAAGTATGCGTGTGTAAAGGTGTAAAGTGGAATTCCAAAAGCTCATAGCCAAACTCAGCAGAGGCCAAACTCCTCAGAAATCCCAATATGCTAATCAGATGCATGAAGATAACACTGGACAACACAGATTTTGAAGCTTAAAATGTTAACCCCGTTTCTGGGTATATTTGACATGAATATTCCAAAATGACACCAGCTTTACACCATCAGCTCTCGTTTTTTGAGATTTGTACATCATATACCTGTGGTCATCTGCTCAACCATTGAAAATCATGATAACCATACCTAATAAACTAGAGCTGATGTGGTCTATCCAATGCCATTTTCTGAATCAGTGCCCAAATAACCCCAGGATCAGGACTAAAAACAAGACACCATTTTTTTTTTGGTTGGGCTGTGTAATCTATTCCAAACCCATCCAAGTCCATACCTGTCTCCTGATTGGCTCAACGACTGGCAGCTCCCAGATATAGAGTTTTCAGCACTGCTTAAAGGATCCAGCATCTATAAGGGAAAGTCAACGAAATGAATGTTGAATCTGGCCTGGTTTTGAAAGTATGATACAAAAAGGAAGTATGGAACATTTAAGAGACCATTCTGATTATAGTCTAGGACACGGGTCCTCAAACTACGGCCCGGGGACCGAATATGGCCCTTCAAGGTCATTTGCTCAGGGTCAACCTAAGTCTGAAATGACTTGAAAGCACACAATAACAACAATAACACTATCTCATCAGCCAAAAAATTGTTCTTCATTTTAATTATTATATTTTTGAAGTTTTTTTTGCACTACAAATATGATGAGTGCAGTGTGCATAGGAATTCATTCATTTTTTTCAAATTATAATCCAGCCCTCCAACAGTTTGAGGGACTATGACCTGGCCCTCTGTTTAAAAAGTTTGTGGACCCCTGATCTAGGAGTTTGACCCACCTTAGTCTTGGGACCCTGATTATGAGAATTATAATACACAATCTACCATTAGCATCACATTGTCCATTTATCTGTATTGTCCTCTAACATAAATTTTACTTGACTCTTATCTTTATTCACTGTGTTGATGGAGGAATGAACAGGGAGGGAAAAATCCAGTAACCAAAAAACCCGTAAGAAAAACCATAAGAAAACCAAAAGAAATAGCCTTTCCCACACATTTCAGTATCTCAGGTAGCAAGTAGATTTTAATTTATTTCTGGTTGATTTTTCGAGTAAAGGCAGTGCTGTGGCCCGTTAAAGGGAGGAAATTTTATCCCTGATGCACCACACTTGCATGGCTCTCATATAATCTACTGACAAAAGGAAACTAGACAATCAATGGTCTGACTCCATAGTAGTGTATAGCAATACCAGATGAAGAGCACAACTGAGAAGATTAGAAGTTATCACCGGTTCTCCTTTTTTTCATTTTTACTTCAAACTCACGCATTGTTCACTGGTTTCTGGAATGAATTCTCCTTCACTGTTAATGCTGGTATAGGAGCCCTGACGAGCGATTCGCTGCTGCCTCTCTGGGACATACCCTGGAGGGGGTGAACTTCGGCCTGTGTTTTGAGAACCTGAGGGTTTTAAAATGAAAAGAATACACACATTTGAAAGGAAAATTGGACAGTTGTTTTCTCCTGTTCTTTTAATACTCCTGTTAAAAAATAGTATGCATGCACTGTACAATAAGGGAAACGTGATGACTGTGACCAAGTGTCAGTATCTGTAGGTAACAGAGAAAAATGCAGCGGCAGTGGTGTTTAGACAGATATTAGGAATATGGCCTTAACAGAAAATAGATTACTTGAACTTGCTTGAATAATATTGTAAATAGACATCAGAAAAATATGTGAAAAATATATGTATCTTTTCCCACTGAGAAGCTTTCACGACTCATAACCTAAGACTACTACAGGTAGAGACAACTTGTATAGAGCAAGTCAACTAACTTAACTGCACAAGCTAAAAAGTATAGAAGTAGCCATATAGATGGACTCATTTACTGAAATCTGGTGGCCTTTTATGGTATATTCCAACAATGACAACATAGTTTACCATTACTCCAGTAACTCACAGTCACCTTTGGAATAATCTATTGTTCTAATTCTCTATGACATTCCCAATCCTTTGCCAATCAGCATTTCCCTCTTATTTTTCTTGTTTGTTTATTTTTGTGTATCTGCTGTTATTGTTTCATTCAACAGAACATAATAATAAAACCAACCACATTGCACACGCAGCCTTTGGCATAAGATAGGAAGGTTACCTAATGAAATAATTAACTGGGGACATTTGAAACCAATTAAATAATGTCAAATTCAGAATGGCAGCTAATAGAGGCACCACCTAGCAGCCTGCATGCCATTTTGCTGGCTTCCTATGCTTAGGAATCTTTCCCTGATTACCAGACAAACTTTGCTGGTCCCTCGTGTGCCATTTTTGTTCTGTTGATAGTATAATAGAAACAACTTTCATTTATGCTTCAACATTATCAAAGGGATATGAAATCTTAAGAGAACTCTGTATTTCTCCTCTCCCTAAGCTAAAGCAAAGAGGGGTAAGCCTGTTGTTGTTGGCTGTGATCCAAAGTAGCTTCCAAGGCCTCATATACAGTTGGGCACTTGTAGTGACCATTCCTACCCATTGCCCTCTACCACTGTATCTGCAGGAAATGTTTTTGAAGTGGGGGTTAGTTTTGATGCAGCTTATCATATATGAAGAACTGATTCTAGAAAAATGGGGTACTGTATCAGTAGCATCATTAGCCATCAGAATGTATTATTATTATTATTATTATTATTATTATTATTATTATTATTATCATCATCTTTATTTATACTTCGCCTTTCTTCCCGTGAGGGCTCAAGGCAGCTAACAATTCACACTAGACAAGTATAAAAAGTACAATACAAAAGTAAAAAACACACAATAAAATAATAGCAGTGTGGAAAAAAGAATTAAAATACAATAATTACACTAAAATTGTCTTTAAACTCATATCAAATAAAGTATACCATGTTGTGTGTCTTAAAATATTTACATGTGTACAATTAAAAGTACCTTTTAAGTAAACTTTATTTGGATTCAAATAAAGTTTTACTTAAAAAGTACTTTTAATTGTACAAATGATCGAATTTTTCACCTTAATACTGAACATACGTGCCTGTATTTATTTCTATTTATTTCTAAGACTGTGAGCACACACACGTGTATGTGTATGTATATAGCCTAAAAGATGGCTGGCTTGAGTTTATCATAAACATAATGTTTTAGCTGTATGTTGTGAGAACACTTTAAAATATAGCCATGCTAAGTACATTTGCACCATCTACTGGTTATTAGAGGAAACAAGCAACTAAGAATTTTTATTTTTGAAAGAGCTAATATGCAATCAAAAGAAAACCAAAACCCAACCCCTTTCAGATGGAGAACTGTGCATTTTTATCATGAAGCCCAACCACCAGACGACTAAGATAACGGAATAAAGCCTCTCTCTTAAGAAGAATGTCAAAATTAAGAGAATAAAAGTGGGGCTTTACCTTATTCTGTCTGAAATCCACAGGATGGGAGAATGTGAGTGTGTGTCTGTGAGAAAGTGGGAGCAAGCACCAAAACAAACAGTCCACATCTGAGTCTTTTCCTCCCAGGTAATAATAATAATAATAATAATAATAATAATAATAATAATAATAATCTTTATTTATACCCCGCCACCATCTCCTGCAATGGGGACTCAGGGTAACTTACATGAGGCCGAGGCCGAACAACAAATTACAATAAAATAAGATACAAATTGCAATAAAATAAACAACAACACTGGTTTGCATGACTGTATTTACGGTATTTGTGCTGCAGCATTTGTGTACCAAAAGTGTAGGTGCCAGATTATCAATACTCACTGATTGAGAGATGCCTACTTCTGGTTTCAGGCGGCTGGTAAGTAGTGCTCACATCACCCACAGATTGGGAAGTTTTGATTCTAACTTGCTTTGGCATTCCGGAATGTGATGATGGACTGGTCTGTTGAAAACATGTATACAGAGTGAGACCATTACGATTTTAGGAATTCAGGTTAAGGGTCTAATATTTTACATCAAATAAACACAACGTCAGAAATTCCAGGAAAAGCAGGGCAGATGTTTTGGACAATAATTAAGCATAGTGTCTGAAGTTGTTACAGGCAATATGGTAGTCAATGGAAAATATTACTTCTGCCAGACAGGAGATGTGGTTTTGATTCCTCTTGAGCTAGGGAGGATACCAACCTGAAGCACTTTAAAAAGTTAATGGTAAAAGGGGTTTTAATTTTATATGAGAAATATCCTGAATTCAATACATCTTGGAATTTAACCATGGGAAGACAAAACCCTGGACTATTTTTTGTATGAGGGGTTCAACATTAGCAGAGAGATTATTCTACCTTGGTCAGACCACACCTGGAAAACTGTCCAATTCTGGGCATCACAATTTAAGGGAGACGTTGACAAGCTGGAATGTGTTCAGAGAATGGCAACTAAAATGATCAAAGATCTGGAGAACAAGCTTAAAGAGCTGGGCATGTTTAGCCTGCAGAAGAGAAGGCCGAGAGGAGATGTGATGGCCATGTATAAATACATAAGGGGAAGTTATAAGGAGGGAGCAAGTTTGTTTTCTGCTTCCTTGAAGATTAGGATGCGGAGTCAGGCTTGCCTTGCAATCCTCTGGTCTTAGGGGGAGAGTTGCCTGGTAGCCACGTGGGCCTCATGGAGCCGCTGCGGTGGCTCCAGCTGCTGCTGGGGCTTGCCTCGCCAAGCCCCCACCCCTCTCCTTCCTTCCCTCTTTCCTTTCCTCAATCCCTCCTCTCCCCTCCCCCCAAAAAAGGACTCTGCCTTCATGCATGGAAAGGGACATTTTTCTTTCTGGGGAGTTTTAAGTTATTTCCACTTCATTTTTAAGGTTTTTTGTTTAAAAGGCATAGATTGGATTAGAATGTGTTTTGCTGTCAAATTTGGTGTCAATTCATCTAGTGGTTTTTGAGTTCTGTTAATCCCACAAACGAACATTACATTTTTATTTATATAGATACTCATATGTCCTATATACTTATTTGTAGGGAGGATACGTTTTCAGCCTTTACGTGGACACATTTAAACCATTGGTAATAGTGGGCCCAGTTCATATGAAGGACTTTTGGACAAAGAATGCCACAGTTGTATTGGTAGACTTGGAAAATATCAAGAGAGAACATGTTTTATCAGACATGGACAACTGAATCCAGTCCCACAGATATGGGAGTTATAATGTGCCAACAGTGGGTGGCACTTCTGCACGTTGGAGTGTGGTCTGTCCATTATTGAGATGTTTGTTGTTGTCAAGATTCCCCATATGTAATCTAGGCATGACTGCACTACTTTCTGTTTAACAAGGGTCTGTAGCGAATGAGCCTGATTTTACTCACATGGTTTCTGTCCTGAGACAGCAGTAATATTCTAAGGCTTTTCACGTTTGAACTTCGGTCTAAAAGGTCTACTGCTTTGTCGAGATCATCTTGACTTTTCAAGGGAATAGATAACTGCAAAAGAAGAACAGAGACGTTTAATTAATAAAGATGCATTGCACTTTGAATTCTTCCTGGCACGAAGAGAACTAATAATGAAAGAATTACCTCTGAGTTTGGTGTTATTTTAAAAACGTAGGAGAAGTTGAAATCAGTATTGTAATACTTAACATTTTTCAGCAGTTTAAATTAGCCTTCAGAGTTGTTGCGTTATATTATATAGTTTCAGGATTTACAACAACTGTACAGTCTAGTTAGAAGTATTAATGCCATGCTGTAGACTACAATTATCCAAATTACAATTTACAGTATTCTCTGGTGCTTTAAAAGGCAGCCAATAAAAGTGCTGAAATTATCAACTCACAAATATGTTTGCAAACTGCAAATTCTAAGATTCTCGCCCATGGGATGGCTTTTATTTTATTTTCATCTTGAGCCCCCTCGGAGAGATAGGGAAGGACAATAATAATAATAATAATAATAATAATAATAATAATAATAATAATAATAATAATAATAATAATTTAAACCAGTGGTTCTCAACCTTCTTAATGTCATGACCCCTTAATATAATTCTTCATATTGTGGTGACCCCCAAGCATAAAAATATTGTTATTGCTACTTCATATCTGCAATTTTGCTACTGTTATTATGTAAATATTTGATATGCAGGATGTATTTTTATTCACTGGACTAATTTTGACACAAATACTCSATAYGCTCAAATTTGAATATTGGTGGGGTTGGGGGGGGGGATGATTTTGTCATTTGGGAGTTGWAGTTGCTGGGATTTATAGTTCACCTACAATCAAAGAGCATTTTGAACTCCACCAATGATGGAACTGAACCAAACTTGGCAAACAGAACTCCCWTGACCAACAGAAAATACTGGAAGGATTTGGTGGTGAACTACAACTTCCTTGAGTTTTGGAGTTGTAGTTCATCTACATCCAGAAAGCACTGTGGACTCAAACAATGATGAATCTGGACCAAACTTGGCTCAAATACTTAATATGCCCAAATGTGAACAGTGGTGGAGTTTGGGGAAAAYAGACTTTGATATTTGGCAGTTGTAGTTGCTGGGATTTACAGTTCACCTACAATCAAAGAGCATTCTGAACCCCACCAATGATAGAATTGGGCCAAGCTTCCTACACAGAGACTCCCAGGACCAACAGAAAATGCTGTGTTTTCTGATGGTCATGCGACCCCTCTGAAACCTCCTTGTGACCCCCCTAGGGGTCGCGACCCCTCCAGGTTGAGGAACACTGAATTAAACTGTGTTAATATAATTAGCACTCCATTTGAAAAGTTTGCTGCTATTCCAGACAGGATTTGTTCAAATCTTTCTGTGGATTATTCAAAAGTATTTATACTACTACTACTATTTTCACTTCAGACTTTAGAAGTATTAATTTTAGTGGTGTTAACATAAACTGGTGAAAATTGGTACCTCATTATTCATATAATGGAGATCTAGCACTTGACCAAAAGCTGTTTTCACTTTCTGCTGCACATCTTCATAGCGGACAGGCCGGGTGAAAGGAATAATCCTGGAAAGGAACACCAAGACATTAACTATACAAACAAAAATTAATTTTGCACAATAATTCATACAAAAAAGAGTTGAGAGACTGTTCACAAACATGGGTACTTCTCTTTAGTTTAAGCACCACTACACCAAAGTTCGTGAATAATGTATATAATATGGAGTTTGTCCCTTCCTCCACTAGACAAATAATTTGATCATTGTTTCTCTAAAACTAATCTCAATTAGGTGATGGAAATTCTCTGGAAAAGTCAGCGTTCAAAGATCGTATCTTTAAATGTGCAATTAATAGCATATGCTACATAAAGATGATTAGCATTTAGATTTTTAGAAAACTGCAACATCCAGAATCAGCTTTTTCCGTGGCTAGAAAGCCATGAGCAAGCAATGCTGAATACAATGTTAAAAGGAATACACACATGGGAGTTTTATTCCCCTTTCGGCAACTCTATCCAAGATTATATGGAATTTTAAAAAATCAATTCTAGCCTTATGGTCACCACAGAGGCATTAGAATAGAAACCACAAGATGACATTCTTGGCTAATTTATCCAAATGCAATGGTACACATGGAAGAGAACAAGAGTCAATATAGGATAATATAGTGTACTGCAGGTGAGTGATGTACTCAGGTTCAGCCATAAAGAGATTGTGTGTGTTTGTGCACATATGTATACATATACATGGAGATTGTGACTGTAAAAGAGTAGCTTGATTTTAAGTGGTGTGTTCTACAACATGACTTCTTCATTTTACTCAGACTAGATGTGTTTATATTGTCTGTTTCGAAAAGGCCAGTTGGCTGATCAACACAATTGTTTCCTTTCAACTTCTTCATTTATATAATAGTTAGAAAGCAAAATCACAAAAACATTGGGTTGTTGTAGGTTTTTTCGGGCTATATGGCCATGTTCTAGAGCAGGGGTCCTCAAACTTTTTAAACAGAGGGCCAGGTCACAGTCCCTCAAACTGTTGGAGGCCCAGATTATAATTTGAAAAAAACATGAATGAAATCCTATGCACACACATTGCACATATCTTATTTGTAGTGCAAAAACACTTAAAACAATACAATAATTAAAAATGAAGAACAATTTTAACAAATATAAACTTATTAGTATGCCAATAGGAAGTGTGGGCCTGCCTTTCGCTGATGAGATAGGATTGTTGCTGTTGTTGTTGTGTGCTTTCACATCGTTTCAGACTTTGGTTGACCCTGAGCGAGGGCTGGTTAAATTACCTTGGAGGGCAATATTTGGCCCTCGGGCCTTAATTTGAGGACCCATGTTCTAGAAGCATTCTCTCCTCAATTTTCCTAGTTCCAACAGACCTCACAACCTATGAGGATGCTTGCCATAGATGCAGGCGAAACGTCAGGAGAGAATGCCTCTAGAACATGGCCATATAGCCTGAAAAAACCTACAACAACCCAGTGATTCCAGCCATGAAAGCCTTCGACAATACACAAAAATATTGTTGTATCTATTCAGTATACTATCTTGGTTACTTTTTATTTTAAGCAAAAAGTGAACCACAACAACATTTTTTGTATGTCAATTAGGAATCAATCCAACTTCAAATCACTCTGACACTGGGTAAATATAGCTGAGCTCACAACTGCAGCACAACTCTTCATAAGACAAACGCACACTACTCATATACACACACCTGATGTTTTTAAAGTCTTAATGCATTTTGGTACTTTTAGACAGAACATTCCTCACTTAAATATTTGTGGCTAAATCTGGCAGCTCTGCTGAAATCAAGCCAGTGCATTTCAAGAGCAAGACTACATAGCTGCATAATTACTAGTTACATACAATTGAGCTTTTCATTTCAGTGGGTATGTAAAACACACACTGCACACCCTACTGAGCCCCCTGCCATGTCATTTCAAAGACACCTGCTTCACACCAGGAAAAGGCAAAAAATGGCAAAAACCAGTGAATGTTTATCACCACTGCACTGTAGATTCCAAAACACTATGCCTCTGTTGAACAGTGCATCCATCTGTTCCTACTGCGACAGTACACAATTATATTAGACATCCTGTCACTGTATTAACACATCTAGTAATCTCATGGTTATGGCTGCTTGTATTGCTCCATGTCTAAATTCCATAGTTAATGCCAAATAATTCTATTTAAATCTTCATGTCCAAAAAAATCCCATGTTTAGATATTTACTTAAGGTGTAATGTGGATATTCTGGTTTATCTGGAAGGAGTAAAATTCAGATTTACTTTATTTCACTCTAGCTGTCTCTGTTGTTCGCCAACTACTTGACTGTCTCAGCCTCTGAGTCTCAAAGAAATAGGGCTATTTGCATTTAGGAATAGTTGTTTTAACCCAGATTGGATTACTGTAATGTACTCTATGTGGGGCTACCCTTGAAGATGGCTCAGAAATTTCAATTGGTTCAACAGGCAGCAGCCATATTACTAACTGGAGCGAATTACAGGGAGCGGTCAACCCCCTGTTTAAGGAGCTCCACTGGCTGCTGTTCATTTTCCGGTCCCAATTCAAGGTGCAGGTTCTTACCTACAAAGCCCTGAACGGTTTGGGATCTGCCTACCTACGTGACTGCATTTCTGTTTACGAACCCACGCGATCTCTTCGATCATCTGGAGAGGCCCTGCTCTTGCTCCCACCCCTTTCACACGCGCGATTGGTGGGGATGAGGGAGAGGGCATTCTCTATGGTGGCCCCCCGACTCTGGAACTCACTCTAAGAAAATCAGACAAGCCCCCACATTGGCAGTCTTTAGGAGGAGCCTGAAAACGTGGCTGTTCCAGTGTGCCTTCCCTGAATAAAGGAAACAATGCCCTGCTGACCAATTCCCTGCAAAATGTCCTCAAAAGCACCTTAACTACCCATTGGGTTGCTCTCCCTACATTATCCTTTAAAACCCTCCTGCTTAGATACATCCTACCTCTGTTCACGCCCAGTGTTCATTTTAAAATTTTAATCTATTACATCTGGCCTGGCCATAAAGGTTTTAAATTTTTGTGTGTTACTGCTTATATGTGAGTTATATTAATTGTATTGTTTTATCTGTTTACTGCTTTGTTGTTTTACTGATGTATTGTTGGGCTTGGCCTCATGTAAGCTGCCCCGAGTCCCTTGGGGAGATGGTGGCGGGGTATAAATAAAGTATTATTATTATTATTATTATTATTATTAAGATACTCTAAGATCAGTGGTTTCCAGAATTTTTACCTCTCCTTTACATCTGAATGTGAATATCTCTGCTAGATATAGTATGTGAATAAAAATATTTTGGGTTTTTTTTTACTGTACTTACTATTGTGATATATAGAGATAGATAGCATGCCTATTATACTTCTTTATTTATTATTTATTCATTTCAAACATTTATATATTGTTCTTTTTCAACCCGGGAGGGGGACTCAGGGCGGCTTACAACTGGCAATCATTAGATGCCAACAAACAATCACAATATGAACAATTAGCATTAAGTAGACCAACAAGATTATAAAATACATTAAAATATAAACCATTAAAATATTAAAACACAACCAAGCTTAAGTCCCCAATCCAAATCATAGTCCAGAATTCCAGTCTAAGGTATATTCATCGACAGTTCTCAAAAGTTATTGCAGTTGCTGTTCAGTCAGCTGCCCAAAAGCTTGGTATCAGAGCCAAGATTTAAACCTTTTTCTAAAGGATAGGAGAGAGGGAGTCGCCCTGATTTCAGGGGAGTGTGTTCCATAGATTGGGGGGGGCACCACCAAGAAGGCCCTGTCTCTTGTCTCCACCAGTCGCACTTGTGAGGGTGGCGGGATCGAGAGCAGGGCCTCTCCAGATGATCGCAAACTCCAAGGAGATACCTTCTGAGAACTAAACTGGGATGGAACAGTATAGGGCTTTATAGGTCAAGACCAGCACTTTGAATTGTGCTCTTTGCAACCTTCCTCTGTCATTATCCCAAAGAGAGACAGGGCTCCATATTTATACAATTTACACAATTAATAAATTTATGTAATTAATGTTTCAACCACCACATTTCCGCCACCATCTTGTAATAAATGATGATAGAACTTTTCCTGTTTTTCTCTTTAATAAAGCTATATAAGACAAAAATAAAACCTGAATATTAATTACAATTATGAGTCTTTCATATCTGAGCAGAAATTCTTACTAGTGTTAATTATCACTGCTTTCAAATTTAACCTGTCTTTCTCGTCCAACACGGGATACCAATTACTATATAAAAAACTAAGATAAAGGCTCGCAGACTGGAAGAAAGAGAATTTTCTCCTTTCACTGCTCTATGGCATTTCTTAAACTGTGGGTGCTAACTCTAAAAAGGTCTCCTTAGCTCAATGTTGGGGTCCCCAAAATTTGGCAACAGTAAAAGTTTTCTGAATATAATCTAGTGGCTGTTTTAGAGATTTATACTAATCTGTTGTGCAGTGTTTACAGCAGACTCTGCAGAAGATGCTTCAGCTGTACTTTATAAAAAGGAAAATCAGCCAATTTAGCAAGTCTTGCAAATGCTGATTTATTATTAATACATGTATATAAATTGTATATACCTATGTACACAGGGTCACATAATCATTTCTTGGGCCAAAAGGGGCCCCAGGTTTAAGAAGCAATGCTCTATGGTAGTGGTTCTCAACCATTTCTTCAATATTGGAAGATCAGCAATACCCTTTTACTTGATAAGAAAATTACAATTTTATAAATAAGGCAATCTTAGAGTTCTTTAAAAAAATGAAAGCAAGACTATAGAAAAACTGGGTAATTCAGTATGACAAAGCCATCACACTGATATGAACCCTGAAGGTGTCTCCTCAGAGAAAGAATTTAAAATATTAACACGAATAATAAATAATATAATAATAGTAGCTATAGCAGAACAGTAATAACATTGATAGACAGAAATAGCAATAACAATAATAATGACACTTCTACTACTTCCAGTGCTGTGAATAATAATAACACTATAGTCATAACAATATTATTATTATTAATAATAATAACTTTTCTTTCAAATTGCCCATTTTGGGAGCATTTATTCAGATTTAATTGCAAAAAAATTGTAACATTTCTTCAATCATTTGTAGACCCCATGATGACATCATGGATCCACAGGGGTACTCAGACTCCAGGTTGAGAACCACTGCTCTATAGTACTAAGCTCATAGGCTTAATTATCTCCCCACTCCATGAAGAAACTTCTGTTCCTGACTAGGAAATGGTGAAGATATAAAAGAGATGGTGCAAAATGGGGCTTGGGAGGGGAGATAATATATTAAACTGGAATGACAGGGCATTATTGTCAGGTACCTAAACACACTACTTCTACTTGGCTTTTAGGCAAGTAAGTCTGGGAGCGAAGGGAATCCTTCACTAGGAAATTATATACTGTAAATGAGAGGAAATCCCAAATGATACAAAATACTTCTTTCACTCTTTTTGAGAAAAACCTAGCCTTTCTGATGATGATGCACATGTAGAAGTCTTTATTAAGCAAAATATAAATAACAATTTCATCAAAATCAAATCCAGTAGCCAAAGTGGAAAGAAATCTGAGAAATATATAGAAAGGTCAAATACTTACCTCCTTTCCCCATTATATTCAAACTTTATCCTTACGTCATTCTGTCAAAGAAAATATAGTTAATTCATTTGCTGAATGTTTTATTCCCTTTGTTTATTTTACAGGAAAATGATCAAAGGCCTCATTGACATGATCACAAAGTGTCTCAAGAGTATACATCTTTGTATCTTATTGAGAATGGTATGTGTGACCGCATCTCCCCCTCCCCCACACGGCTTCAGTGGAGGCCTCCAGAGCCCAAGGTCCTCCATCCCGATGGGTGCTATCTATTTGCATTCGGGGGGAGGGGTGTATCTTGGGGAGTTAGTCAATTCTTGACAAATGTCAGGGGGGAGTCCTAAAACTGTAACTGGTGCAAAGCTCGGCAGCCAGATTGCTAACTGGAGCTAATTATAGGGAGTGGATGACACCCCTATTAAAACAGCTCCACTGGTTACTGATAAGTTTCCGATCCCAATTCAAAGTGCAGGTCATCACCTACAAAGCCCTAAATAGTTTGGGCCCTGCCTATCTTCGTCCCCCCCCTCCCCCCACGGTGCTGTGCAAGTGTTAAGATCTGCCAGGGAGGCCCTCCTTGTGGTCCTGCCACCATCACAAGTGTGGTTGGTGGGGACAAGAGGATCTTCTTAGTAACAGTCCTCCTACTTTGGAACACCCTCCCTAGGGAGATTAGACATGCCCTTACATCGTCCTCCTTCCGAAAGGAATTAAAGACTTGGATGTTTGGACAAGCCTTTGAGAATGGCTATCCTCAATGGTTCGCAATTAATGACAGAGCATTGCACTTTTGTCCCATGCCCTAGTTCATGAGCTACAACTTGCACTATCCTATTCCCTTGTTCCTGTTTACAGTTGGTCATGTTTTACAACAGTTTTCCCCAAAGGTTATTGGACGCTGTTTTGAGCTTAAATTGTTTTATATTCTATTGGTTTTATCTTTTATTGTATTTTGTGTTTAATTTATGTGTTGTGTTAAGACACATTGTGCCGTATGTAAGCTGCCCCAAGTCCCTTCAAGGAGATGGAGGCGGCAAAAATAAAGTTATAATTATTAACATCTGTAAGGCTGTAGTCAGGCTAGTCAGTGTTTGAAAGGAAATCTGTGGATGTCATACTTGATTTTAAAACATCTTTTAACCTGTCCCCAACCTCAGAGCCACAAGTGCTGTTGAGCTGCAATTCAGATTATCAAAAGTGATGGTGGTTAGCTGGGGGTATTGGGGGTACTTTGAATGCAATTTTCCTGTTTCTTGGTAGGGGACTAGACGGCCCATGAGGTCTCTTTCAACTCTATGATTCTAGTGATCAATTAAAATCTGGGGACCCAAACCAGATAAAAACGAAAGAGCAGCAGCCACTATATAAAAAATATAGTTGGCCCCCTTTATCCACAGATTCTCTGTCCATGGATTCAACAGCCCTTTAGAGGCAAACCTAAGGCTGTTGTGGCCCTTGATGAAAATGAGTTTAACATTCCTGCACTAGCAGAACAACAGCATCATATATTGTCTTTTCTATATCATATTTTACATTGATGTCTTGATTTCTGATTGAAAATACCAAGGCTGCTTACCTGAGCTCTTTTGTCCTCTCCTGCACGAGTACATTGATTTGTTATTGTAGGGTTGTTCAGGACACTTGGGTTGCTTGTACTATGTTTTTTCTTAAATGGGGGAAAAAACCAAGATGACATTTATAAATGAGGTTACTTTATAAACAGTGAACAAGAAAATTGGCAGTGAATGCCAGGATTATGCTGAAAATTACCTGACCTATTTTCTTCCTCTGATTTTTTTCAGATTTTTATTTATAGACCACATTTCACCACCAGATTCTCAAGGAGACATAATTTGAAGGATAACATACAACAAAAACACAGAAGTCCACAAAAGTAGCCTTGCTAATCAATCAAGTTAAAAAGACAAAATGTCGTCAGTTTGTCTTTTTCACTTGATTGATTAGCATTAAATATTTTGGCAAGTATGGATAAATTATTTTAAAAAGGCATTGCCAGGCATAAGAAAGTCAAAACTGGCAACAGGCAAGTGTCTCTGGGAAAGGGCTAACATTAGTAAATGCTAGTAAGAGAATTCTTCTCTATTGTTTCTAGCACAACTTGCATATGGGATTCACTGAGAAGCCCCCCACACAAATGAAAGGCACAAATGTTGACGTGTGCCCCAAAACTGAAATCATGTGTGAGCATGGCGAGGTTTCCAGATGCTTTTGGGTTATAACTCTCACCAATCCTAGCCTGCACAGATAATGATAAAGATTGCGGGGAGTTGTAGCCAAAAACATCTGAAGGCCTTCACTTTCTCATAAATCCTGTAGTTTAAGACCTCAAAGGCCATTTACAGAACACAACACCAGGTGATCCATGAACACATCTGCCATGAACTTTATTTTTTCTAAGATGTGGAGTACTTTGGGGAACTTTAGAAAAAGAATGACTAGGCCCAAAGTATGGTTGAATGACCATGACAGAAGCAACAGCACAGGGACAGTTTTAGATGATATACATTATTTACATATGACTGCCCAACAATTTCTTTATTGTAAACATATTCTTCAAGTAATCAAACAGATGACTTCAGATATGGACATCATCAGATGGCCAACACAGAAATCAAATGCACATAGGAAGCAGAAGATGTAAAAGCTCTTATCTTTGAAAAAACACAGGAACAGATTATGTTGCAGGCATGCCAATATCAAAATTAGAATAAAGCTAAAGAAAAAGATTGAAGTCTCTTTCATACTACACAGTTTCAGTACTTTCATCCCACATTAACTTCCATGGCTGCATCTTAAGGAACACTGGGATTTGTTTAATGAAATATTTAGAATTCTCTGCCACAGAACTTTAATACCCAGTTAATGTGGGATCAAAGTGCTATAAAACTATGTAGTATGAAGACACTTGTATCAACCACAGTGGCAAAATACGATCTGAATAATATCCCTGCGGAAATTGAAGAAAACATAGAGAACAGAAAAAATGTCATTTAAGTAGCCTTGCTAATCAATCAAGTTAAAAAGACAAGGAATTAGAAATGAAGATTGGAACTCAGGTGTATACTCAAAGAAAAGACTGTATCTATAATCAAAAAGAAGAAAAGCCTAACTGCATGAATGATTAACCCTTCAAACAGTTAAGAACAGAGGAGACACAAAAGTAAAAGGTGGTAACAGAAACAGTGTTAGAATATGGATTAGAATTGTTGAGCAAACTGTACATACAGACAAATAGAACAATCAACAAGATTCAATAAATCAAAGGGAAAATTGAACCAAGAGTATAGATACTACATAACCAGCAAGGGAAGACATTATAGGAACAAAATGAGAAAAAACTAAATATTGACAAAGTAATGACTACAGAAAACTATTTAACTTTACAGTGGGCAATTAAGACACCAAATTACTAAGAATAAATCAAGCTTGAACTCTTACTAGAAGGTAAATGTTTAACTCCTGTACTTTGGGCATACAATCAGATGACAAGACTTATTAGAAAATATAGTAATGCTACATAAAATTGAAGGCATTAGGGAAAGAAGAATATGAGTTGACTCAGGCTGGATCTACACTGCCCTGTATCCCAGGATCTGATCCCAGATTATCTTTTTATCCCAGATTATCTGGCAGTGTAGACTCAAATAATCTGGGGTCAAATCCTGGGATACAGTGCAGTGTAGATCCAGCCTCAGTTAAGGAAGTTACAGCCCTAAGTTTCCAAGATCTGAGGAAGGCTGCAGAAGACTGAGATTTTGGGATGTACCTTATAAAGATATCAAAAGAATATCGAGGCAGGGGGGAACAAACAATCCCACCAACTGTCTCTCCAATATAAAGAATTTACACCACTTTGGTACCAATAGAACGTTTGAGGGGATTGTCTCACTAATTAACATCCGCTGCCACCATAAACAATTATACAGGAACACTCTAGCTGGTTTTGAAAATATAAAACTGTTTTTAGACCACCAAGTATTGTGTTTTCTTATTTTCTCCTTTAAAGGGAAGCAGGTGAGGTTGAAAAGGAAAAGGGATTAAATCCACAAATGTACACTTGACTCAGGTTTTTAAGTTTCAAAATAATCAAGGAAAGTTTATTTAATATAGTACAGAAAAGTGAATGCTGTTTAATAAGCTTGGCTGTTACAGATAAAATGTTCTGGTTCTTGAAAGCGTAACGGTTGCATGAGACTTGGTCATTTCTGATGAGAACAACACCATATAAAAGCTTTAGAACCACATATACCCCCTCGTTCAAAAATGCACCACGGACAGTTACCTGCCCTGGTGAGCAATGAGACTCACCGCCGCAAACTCTGAATCTCTGCCAAGATACAACTGTAGCTTAGCTACCCTCAACTACACTCCAGCTATTTCTCCTAAATAGCTATCCCAGTTTGCTACAGCTTCTCTTGCTGGCAAACCTAAGGCAAACTGCCTTCTCTCAACTGATCTTAAAACACGAACTCCTAAACTACTTCTCTAATCCTGCTCTAAACTCTAGCAACAACAGACTGACAAAAAGCCCTATTCTTTCCCTCCAAACAGTCTAAACTCCGCCCCCCTTTAATAAACCAATCCTGGCTGTTCTAAGGCTGACTCAGGCCTAGGCCACTCCCCCTCTCTGAAATGGTGCTTTCCCTAAACTAAAATGGCTCCTGCTGCCCTCTGCCAGGCCTTCTAAAGCTGCAACTAACTGGCCTGCTTCTCCTAGGCCCTGCCACCCAAGGTCTGGGGTACCGCGGGTGTCCTTGCTTCCCACTACCTCATCCCCCGCAGACAGCTGTGGCAGCACAACAAGAGCCACTTCCCTCACCCCCTGCAGTACCCATATCTTGTGGGCATTCCGACCGAAAAAGTACAAGCACGAAGTACAATTGGGCCACATACCTCTGTCAATTCACACATCACTTCACTGATCCTACGCGCAATAAAAGGACACACCCGCCCAGCCCACGCCAACGCACTGTAGTGCTGGAGGGTGCTCACAGACAGGCGGCCATCGGCGACACAAGCCGCGAGGCTACCACCGACTCCTATTGGTTTCTAGGTGCCCGCATATCGAGGCAGAGGATGGCGTGTTCACTCGTAAATCAAACGTCTCCCGCCCGCCACACAGTCTTTGGCGGCGGTACGTGGTGACGACGAACACTCACACACAAGAGAGGTCACTCTAAAAAAATATGATACTATTGCCACTTGTAGTTTTCCTCACTGTAGAAGCAGTACAAATGGAGATGAGAGGAACAGCTAATTCCAGACTCAGTGATATCCTTTCCTCTATGTTTGTGTCCCATGCTTGCTATTTTTTTTAGATAGGAGTGCTAAAAAGAAGCAACTGCACAACAATAGATGAAAGTAAAGTAAAATGAAGCAGGAGTAACAAGAGGATGGATATTTAGGGACAAAGACTTTGAAAAGTTTCAATTAAAAGGGGAATATGGAAACAAACAGATTTCTGGAAAATATGGGGAAAATTATTGAGTATATTTTTAATGAGGGGAAGAGGTATAAGACAGCAATAGAAACAATGACATTTTGGAATTGTGAAATAACTTCAGTAGGTTGGTCCTGGTGAAGGAGGCACAAACTAAGGGGAAGGGGAAGAGGGGGAAATGTATAATATTAATTATAAAGAAATAAAGCATGTATAAGTGTGTGGTAGAGGTATACGTAGTGTAACGGAATGATAAGAAATATGCCCAAAGATGTATTTGATTATTTTTACTGTTAGATTGTATATAATATGACATATTCTTCTATCTAAGATGTTGTAAAAAGAGGGAAGAATGTATGCTTATACATTTTGTTTGATAATTAAATACTTTGAAAAAAATAAAAAAAAATAACCTTGAAAAAAAGAAAAGAAAAGTTTCAATTGCAAGCAGAAGCAGCCAAGAGCCCTTGATGCGAAGGCAGAACAAGAAACCTTAGAAAGGTTTACTTCTTGGGAAACTTTCCATGTTTTATTATTAGGAAGCAGTTCTTTCCTACCTGGTCCTTTTCTTGATGACAGAAAGAAAGAAAGAAAGAAAGAAAGAAGAAAGAAAGAAAGAAAGAAAGAAAGAAAGAAAGAAAAAGAAAGAAAGAAAAGAAAAGAAAAGAGAAGTGAAAGGCTTTGGACAAATTAGATGATGATGGATTCTCTTTTGATGTGTCTTTTTATACAGGTTGGATGGTCATCTGTCAACAATTAAGATCTGAATCTCATGCAATCCCCATGGGTGGCTGGGTAACCCTTGAGGTCTCTTTCAACTCCACAATACTAAGCAACTACAAAGGCATGCCAAATAAAAAACAACACAATCAAAAGCAAACATTCTGATTTCTAGATACAAGGACCACACACAGAAAACCTGTGCTTGGTACCGTCCTCATAATACTTCTTGGCTCCTTAGTAGTGAGGTAAATAAGGAAAATTCCCAAATAACATTTCTACAACAGACTATAAAACCCAGTTGGCTTGGAATATTATATTAGTAACAGCCAAATATTTAAAAATGGGCAAAGCCTTAGTTATGAGGCACATACTACCTGTCTGTTGGAATGACCATCCTTGTGCTTCATGCTATCAAAGCCAGATAATCTGGGACGTCGGCTCATCTGGAGTGCAACCAAATCCTTCATGATAGAATTCAGGGCCTCCTGTTCATCTGCAATAAAAAGTAAGGAATTCCTGTGAGTGTCCAACCTTCTTAAAGAGTGAGAAGAAGCTTGCCCATATTTTTTTTTAAAAAAAACTTGTGCTCATGTATACACTTAAGATATTTTAAATTCTTTGCAAATATATTAAATGACATCCTGCCAACAACTGGCTCTCCAAAACAGCAAAACTGAAACAAAGGCAAATTCCAGTTGTTAGATCCAGTTAAAATAGAGCAACTCAATAAAAAGAAATTTGATAAATGCCTTCTCATTAGGTTCTCATTGCTTCTAGTTGGGGGCCAAAACCTGGCTTTAGTCGCAAATATCCTTATCAACAATGAAGCTGCAAATTTATTGTTGGGCAAAAATGACCTAAATCAAATTACTACTTTCTATTGTATACAGTGAAACACAATTGGAGACTTCAAAAACAATTGCAGTAATCCTGTTTTACCCTTTTAGCAGGAAATATTAATAGATTGTTAAAATCACCTCCAGATTTATTTATTTATTTACTATACTTGTATACTGCCCCTCTCAGCCCGAAGGCAACTCGAGGCGGTTTACATTTGGCAATCAATGCCGCACAAGATAAAATGCAGTCAAAAACAATTATATATAGTAAATATATATATATATATATATATATATATATATATATACTAGACTTTGAACTGGAAAGAAATAAGGAGGTGTTATTATATCATCTCTCGGCAGCGGCAAGAACAGTGTTCGCAAGTAAATGGAAAGCAAGGGACCAGCCCCCCATGGAGGCCTGGCTACTTAAGATAAGGGACTACATGGAACTAGATTCATTATCGAATATGGTATACGACGTGAACAAAAAGAATAAAGTAGATTGGCAACCACTTAGAAATTACCTTAAAGAAAGGAAAAACATAAAGTTATAAAAATTGAATGTTGACGAATGCTATTAAAAGACAAAGAATTTAAGGAAAACAAAAAAAAAGAGACTAAGTTACCTCGTGGAAGGTTGGGAAGTCCAGTGAACGAATGTATGTAGTCCCCCTTTCCCTTCCCCCTTCTCCACAAATATAACCTCTGCACACACCCCTCCCTCCCCTTCCGCCCCCCCCCCTCCACTCCCGGAATGAATGGATAACCAATACAGGAAGTGGTAGATTTAAGAATTGATTTTATTGTCATGGATAACATTGTAAAGACTTATATGGTAACTAATCAATTTGCTATCAATATGCCTGTATGGATGTATGTTTGTAAACATGAAAACCAATAAAAATTAATTTAAAAAAAAAACAATTATATATAGTATAAACCAGGGGTCCTCAAACTTTTTAAACAGAGGGCCAGGTCACAGTCCTTCAAACTGTTGGAGAGCCGGATTATAATTTGAAAAAAAAAAAATGAATGAATTCCTATGCACACTGCACGTATCTTATTTGTAGTGCAAAATCCACTTAAAATAATTCAATAATTAAAATGAAGAACAATTTAACAAATGTAAACTTATTAGTATTTCAATCGGAACTGTGGGCCTACTTTTGGCTGATGAGCTAGGATTGTTGTTATTATTGTTTTGTGCTTTCAAGTCATTTCAGACTTAGGTGGATCCTGAGCGAGGGCCGGGTAAATGACCTTGGAGGGCCGCATCCGTCCCCCAGGCCTTTGAGGACCCCTGGTATAAACCATATAAATACAGTAACAATAAACAATCATAAAATACAGTTCTCAGCATCTCATCATTAAAATCATTTTCCATCGCATCGTCCTGTTGTTCCACGATTTATGAAAAACCTTACTAATTTTGAGGTATAAATGTTCCCTTTTATTAAATCTCAGGTCATTTTAGGTAATGACTTGACATATATTCCAAGGCAAAGGTTGGCACAACCAGGTCAATCTGCCTTTCAGTACAGTCTTCCTTTCTTCAGCATGCAAACAAAAGACTAGGACATTCCCCACTACCAGCAGTTTCCCGAAAGTCACAAGTCACCTTAGGATAACCTCATGAAGTTTATAGTTTTGATAGGCAAAGAACACTCAGAGGTGGCTTTGCCAGTTCCTTCCTCTGTAATATAGTCTATAGCACCTGGTATTTGTTGATAGTCTTCCATCCAAGTACTAACCCAGGGCTAATCCTGCCTAGCTTCCAAGGTCAGAAAGGAACTGATGCCTTTAGAGTTTTCAGGGACAAGTATGTATCACTGGCTAAATGGGAAGTTTAAAGACAAACATGGATATAAAATAAGAGGAAAATGTGTCAGATATAACAGGTTTTAAAATACTGTAGATAAAAAATTAATGTACCTTGGTGTCAGTTTAACAAATAAAAATTGTCCATTGCTCCAAAATAACTATGAAAACTTATGGATGGATATTTTAAAAAGACCTATTATGATGGGATAAGTTACAATTATCGCTGTTGGGAAGACACTCTGTGATAAAAATGAACGTATTGCCAAGGATTCTGTTTCTTTTTCAAACAATCTCTGTGACAGTGATAGATAAAACATTTAAATATTGGCAAAATTATACACATGCACACACACACACCCACCACACACACACAAATAAATTTGTATGGCAATGGAAGAAGCCAAGAATTAAATTTAAGGTGTTACAAGATGCAAAAGAATGTGTTGAACCAGGTGCACCTGGTCTGAAACTTTATTTTGTCGCTTGCTGTTTAATTGGAAAAGACTAGATATTATTGAGTAATACTAAGATGTTGGAACTGGAAGGACATGATTTGAGATATGGCTGGCATGGGTACATGTGGTATGACAAATGAAAGTGAATGTGGACTTTAAAATCATTATGTTAGACAAGCTTTATTATGAATATGGGAGAGATATAGATTGCACTTATGTCCAACTATGTCAATGTGGGTACTTGCTCAAGAAGAATTTTATAGAAAAAAGACACAAAGCAAGAAGATGATAGTGAATGGCTACTGTAGTAATCGTTAATTGTTTATTGTTATTAATTGTGTAATGGATTAGGCTGTTAACTGTTTTTATACTGTACATTGAATTTTGCTGTCTCTTATTGTTGTGAACCACCGTGAGTCGCCTTCGGGTTGAGAACAGCGGTATATAAGCAAAGTAAGTAAGTAAATAAATAAATAAACGATCGTACTTTTCTTTCTTTTTTTTCTACTTTCTCTTTCTCCTTTTTAATGTTTATTTCTGTGTTATTTCTTTTTTTGGCATTTGAAATGTTTTTATTTTATTCATGTTTTTAACATTTTATTTTGTACATGTGGCCTGCCCATTGTCATTGCAATTGTGTTATTGTATGTTATTTTGTTACTGCATTCATATATTTTTTTCTTTTTTGTTAATTTGATGCTGTTGCTTGTTGTTTTATGTTTTGGTTTTATTTTTGCTGTAATATGTTATCCGGGCTTGGCCCCATGTAAGCTGCTCCAAGTCCCCGTCAGGGAGATGGTGGCGGGGTATAAATAAAGATGATGATGATGATGATGATGATTATTATTATTCTATACTTCTTTTCTAAATTCTCTGTTTTAACTTTTAATGTAACTTTTAAAATGTTTCAATAAAATGATTTTTTAAAAAAAGGTTTTTATGGTAAATGAACATGGTACTTATAGTAGAGACCAAGAAAAATAAAACAACTGAAGCTAATTTTTTTCTTTAAAAAATAAGTTTACTAGGTTGATGTTCCCTTTTCTTTTGATTGCTGATCTGTTCACTTCTGTTTTGTGTTCACCTAAAATTTAAGACCGGCATAGCCACCAAACTGCAACTTCCAAAAGTGTTTCTGTATATTTTCCTGTATTGGTCAGAAATAGGATATATATTTCATGTAACTCCCTAAAAACCATACCTCAAATTCAGTTTTTAGAGCAAGCTTTTGAGACACTGGATTAAACCCAGTAGTGAATACAAATGAAGGCTTGGCTGCTGCTTAACAGCACAGAGGCAGTTTTGCAAAGTCTCCAGTAGGTCTGGGGGAAACAGTTCTGCTTTGTGCTGGAACGATGTTGTTCAGGAAATGCTTTTCATGTTTTAAAAGCCACACTCCACTTTATAATCATTGATAAAAAGAAATTTGAACATACATGGAAAGTTATTGCTTTGTGTCAAATATTTATTTTCCTTAATATTTAAAAATCATTTTTTAAAATAGAAAGGCTACAAACTAGCAAAAATACAAAACTAAGAGTAGGAACATTTACAGAATTGTGAAACAGGAAGTTTGTAGACCAATGCGCTACATAAGAAAAGAAAACTGGGCAAAATGTTTCATTTTCTCTCACAAGTAAATATTTTAGGATATAGTAAAGTAAACCTCCTTAAAACTGCTGAAATTTGGGATATTAATTGGACATTATCATGGCATACACAGTGAGGCAATGGCTATTTTCATGATGCTTCCAGGATTAAGATCATAACAGTATATTATGTGCAGTATTAGTATGCCATTGATACCAAATATATTTTGCAATCACAGAATCTTAAGGCCAAGCTAGCAATATATTATTAATACGTTTTTGTGTGTAGATTTCTTGACAAATATGAATACCTGGAGATATGCACTGAAAAGGTTGAATCATAAAATATGTTCCAGATGTCAAGGCAATTTTTAAAGTCTGAAAGCCACCCTGCAACAAAGAGGTACTAGCAGGAGGGTGAATTGGTTTAAATGTGCTTATTTGTAAGACTGCTGTAATTATGTACTTTAACTGTCTAAATGGAATTTTAACTAGAAATGTTATGTTTGCCTTATTCATCAGTTCAAATTACCACCAGCCATGAGGGCTGCAGCATATAATAAACTCAAGCAGCTACAATAAATTTTCAGCAGCTTTCTTTGGAAAACTAGGAAGTTATGGTTTTAACACTTCATGAACACTTTAAAAGGGACTGCTTTATAATTAACAACATCCATGCAAAATGATTCAAAGATACTCCTCTCATACATTCTTACAGAATACTAGAATCATAGAATTGGAGAAGACCACATGGACTATCAAGTCCAACCCCATTCTGCCCTGCAG